CAGTAACATTAAAATCGCCAAGACAAAAAGTGTCATCAACGGTGGGATAAACATGGGAAAACATATTGTGTAAATCACCCAAAGCAGCGTTTAAATTAATATTGGGGGTCTATAGAAACAAGAAAATGCGTTTTTTTTCTTTTTATGCAAATTTTTAAGATTAAGTATTTTAATCCGCTATTTACACTAAAATTATGATTAGTAACTTCTACATTTAATGACTTTTAACATATGCAGCAATTCCACCTCCACGACCCACCCTATCCTTTCGAAAAAAGTCAAAACCGGGAATACAAAAAGGTTCCGATGCATCACGTGAGAGCCAACTTTCCGACAGAAAGATTACATCAAAACTATTACCCTCAACAAAGTCATAAAAATCATTACAATGTGTAAAAATAGAGCGAATGTTCAGGTGTCCAATTTTAAATTTTTGATTATTCATCCAAACAAATTAAAAGTAATTCCCTTATACCAAACGTTAACAACTAAAAGAAAATAAAAATAAGATCGCATACAAATTATTATTAGTTGCCTAAACAGGTACAATTGTAATCAACATGTAATGCCGTTTCACTCCCAGAGTTGTTATTATGATCAATTACAATGTCTATGTTATTTTGTATGCAAATGTAGGAATCTCCATTTTTTAAAATGTACTGTACTGCTTTCTCCCAGCTCCCAACAGGTATATTATTAATTATATTTTTATTTAAATTTATGACTTAAAATAAATATTTTCTGCTGCCACATTTGGTTTTACTTGCTGCCACAAATATTCGATGGGGTTTAAATATACAATGCTATGGAGTAAGAAAATAGTATACCGCATCTGTTCAGCTAAACTGTCACGACATATATATTATTTATTTACACCAAAAGTTGCCTTTTCTTGTGGCTGGATTTAAAGTAAATATCATTTTGTAGCAAATATTCTCGAAACGAAAAACATATGGCTCTCAATGCATTATAAAAATGCAGATATCCGGTGATCCGGATACTGTTCACGCCTTAATTTTATGACAAGTTAACAGGACACATACTGCAAGTAACTTTAACCGAATGTTAAAAACGTAGGCAATTAAAGTTTCATAACAATTACAAAAAACAAAGGAGATAGAGAGAGAGGGCATAATATTTTTAATATAATAGTTCGATAATAACTTCTGAATACAGGCCGTAATTACTTTTTGAGAGTCCGTCAAAAGTCAAAACGATATACTTGGAGGTACACTATACATCTCACATCGTTTCAAACTTTCGTTTATTACAGCGTTTTCTATATCGAAAGTAATTTGTTTAAAAAAAGCAATTCTGATAGCGGAAACGGTATAAAAGTTTATTATTTCCTTATTTCTGTAACACATTGACTGCACGTGCAAGTCTAGGCCATCTTGAAGGAAACGATAACGCATCTTGTTGCTTTTTTTCTTCGACTCAAGAAAAAGTTACCGGGCCAGACGTATGTGATGCGGATTACACCCAATCAACGTTTTCTAATCAGGTCAATATCTGCGATTTGTTTCGCGGAGGTCTGCGATATTAAACAATGCTAACTTTCTTAAATACCCAATGTGTGTCATTGTTAACGCCTAAACGTTATCTTTATGCTTTAGGCTGCATATTTTCCGAAAAGGAAAAACAACTTATATATTTATACCGTAACCTCTTAAAATTCTTTAGCCGAAAGGCATAGCTGTCACAATTATTATCGAACGACCAATTTATAGATGTTTATTTTTCGGTTGCCTTGGACAGGTTTAAATTTTGTAAAGCTTTGTGGGCGGATATTTCTCTAATGGGATTAATTTCCAACGGACCAATGACGCATGATCGTGTTTAAGGCGCAAATTAAGTGATTATTACAGAGTGCGCCAACGGTAAGTCTATGTATATACACGGCGAACAAAGAAAGTACCGCTGAGAAAGTGATTTTGCTGCATTGTTCTACGATATTGAAAAAAAATCTAAACTGATATGTCATGTTATTCATTGAAAATAACATTACGATTCTTGATAAAGATTTTGTGATCGAAATGTTGAATAAAACTTAAAAAATTGTGAATTTTGATATTATAAAACAAATTTAAGTATGCCAAAACAATTTTTTGAACGTTTCGAGATACATATCTTTTTGAAATTTTAATTAATAATAATTAATTTTAAATGCCAGTATATATTCCTATTGGTATATCCTTCTAGAATATTATTATTTTAATTATAATATATGTCGGAGATCGTAAGAAATAATCGAAATAATATAATAAAAATGATAAAATAGAAATAGAAACCCGGAGTGGCGGGTTCTGATAGCGAGCGAGGCGACATAGGGTTAGACTGCTCGGACATATTAAAAGGTTGCACATAACACAGTGCTTAGAACAAACGAATAATCTAATCACTTGATTGATTATTAAAGGGAATCCAACGATCCGCGACCGGCTCGATCAACTACAAAATATCCTATCAAAAACAAACTATCAGAGCTACTCAAAATCCGGCCTAACCTGTGCTTTTATAAAGCCATACTATCTTCTCCGGTTCGCGTTGCGGTGGGTTCGCATGGGTCCACAATATTACGAATGGCAGAATTATAACTGTTTAGGTGAAACCGATAAATAATGCGAGTCAAAAATAAACATTCCAAACACCCAAAACGAAATATGGGAAAATATGGACCACTTAAAGCTAAGTGCGCCGACATATATTATAATTATAATTTTATTTTTCTCACTGGGTAGAGTAGCGTACAAAAAATACATAAAAAAGATTTATGTGCAGAAAAGGATATATTTTACAAAGGACTTCGGTTTTAGTAACGAATACCAAATATCATAAATATTTTTTTGCATGTATCATGGAAGCAATTTGCTTATTTTGAAACTCGTTTATTAATTACTGTTTCTGATTCTTAAAGACAAACGTTTTTTACATAACCTTTCTTCTTTCTTATTCTTCTTCTTTCTCTGCTTATCCGTTAATAGATGTTTGCGACCACGTTTTCCATAGCTTGTCTATTTCTGACTGTGTGAATCAATGCCTGAATGTTACATATGCTGTTTCACGTTCCTCGGCCATGACATTTTCTTTCATCCTAGTCCTGTTCTACCCTCGATCTTGCCCTTAATAATCAGTTGCAGAAATTGATATTTATGATTGCGCATTACGCGACCCAGGTATGCAGTCTTTCTTTTTTTGCAATGGGAGTTCGCGAACTTTGTTAATAAGCCTGAGAATTCGTTTTTCGTTCTGGCTGTCCATGCTTCCAATTTGTTTATGGCTTTCACTCCGTGCGTCGTACACCTTCTTATTACCCTTATTTTATATACAACCAAACTTATATGGCATTACCCAATAATTTCAAGAAATACAATTTAATTTGTTAAAAGTCAAGCAGCTTTTCCAAAGCAAGTTCATTATCAAAATAATTGAAAATTATTTCAATTCTCTTAATAATAGAACAATTAATAGAACGTGTAGATTTCTATAAAAACATGTTTTCAGAAAATAACGATTTAAGAATTAATAAAATAATTCAAGAAATAATGCTTTAATAATACGTCCAGTAAAGATACAAGCAGGAATTGGACGATGAATGCCATAAAGTTGCTAATATTTTCTTGAGAAACATTTGCCCATTCCTTCAAATCCACTTGTATAAAGTTGCTCTATATTGCCAGAGTCATTTTGACGGGCTCTAATTCTTCTTTTCTTCTTATCTCATAAGTGCTCTATTTGATTAAGATCCGGTGAGCGAGAAGGCCATTCTAAAATTGCACTTTCCGTTTCCACCCAGAGCCGGACCATAGGTTGCAAAACTAAATCAACATACGTTTGAGCTGTTTGTGTCTGCCGAATGCTAATCAAAGGAGATGTCTCCTCCTTTCAAAATGCGAATTCGTCGGTCATTGAATCGTAGGCCGTTTTTCGTCTCTTCCGAATATAAGACATTTTCTCAATCTTCAATAGTCCAGTTCCTGCTCCAAATATCAATTTAAACTGACAGTTATATTTTGCCTTTACTGCGTTCTATTGAATATTTTCCAAGCGCGAAGTCTTCTGATATTTTCCGCCGTGGTCTATTCTTCAGAGTTCTCAATGCCAAAAACCTTGAATTGTAGCTTTTAAGGCCCTTGCGAAACCCCTACCGTTCTTGCAACCTGCAAACTGCGTTTCTCATGACTTACTGCTGGAAAAACTGAGCAAATATGGTGTACGAGGACTTTCATTCCATTCAAGGGTGGATAGGGGCGTGCCCCCAGTGAAACAGAGCTCTGTTTTCGGTCCGCTGCTGTTTACTGTCTACATTAACGATCTACGTCATTGTCCCGTAATAAAAGCATTTTTTATGCAGACGATACGTCAATTATTAACTGTGGTCCAAACAGGCAAGCTTTAATAGAAAAAATAAACGAAGTAGGAGATAGGGCAGGGTAATTGTTCTCTAACAACGCTATTAGATTAAATACAGCACCTTGTGCTCTCAACAAATAATATCTTGGCGATGGGTGCCAGTGTAAAATTTTTGGATTAAACTGGATGATAGTTTGGCCTCGGATCAGCGTATTAATTTTTTGGGTAAAACACTACTATCTAATATTCTTATAGTGTGTGAATTAAACAAAACATTAATAATACATTATTTTGTCTTTCACCTAATGCTGTCGTCTCATGTAGGTTATCTAGAGTACAATCTTTCAAAGATTAAAAGGCATACCACTGAACTGCTGAACTCCTTTTATCATGATTATGCTACGCGAAAAAGTATCAAATGTTAAAACACTGAATAATAAAAAAAATAAACCATTATGACGAAATTGCCACCTTTATTAATTATTAATTATTATTTAAGTAAATGTTAGGTGTAATTTAAGAAAAACTAGATCTACATTCTAAATAAATGAATTTACGTTTTAAGCATTTTCTTATGCTTGAAATTTATATCATTTAATTTAACGGATAGCCGGTAAAAATATTGTGAAAGATCTCGTCTAGCTTACCCGCCCTGAAGATCTCGTGGCAGCCATCGCATCTGGACGCGAATTGCTCGTCGTAGCAGCGTCCGCAGTAGATACGATCACCCTTTGATCCAAATTGCTTGTCCACCAACGAATCTCCACAAGTTGTACACAAAAAACACGCCTCGTGCCAATGCTTGTCTTTGTAGGACAGATCCTAAAAATAAATAAATGTTAAATGTTCATAGATTTTGAATAATTTGAAAGTTTCGTCATTTATAAACCTAGCCAGGGCAAGAATAACTAGCAATCGTTATAGAAGGTATAAGGACGATATATGTTAAGTACGAAAGTTTACAAATATAACCATTTGGAACGGTTACGTTACTTTAATTGCTAACTGAGATCGAAAGTATAAATCGAGTCCTAATCATCGATAAAAGTCATTGAAGATACATTTTCCTACTCTCCACTCTAAAATAACCTACTGTTCACCGATCAAGCTTGCGTCATTCAAAGCCATTTTAATTTATTTATCGTTTATTAATATAACAACGATCTTTAGAGGGTAATGCGTTCTTAATGCTACAAACAGAACACCTAGTGAAAGAAAAAGAAATAGATAAAACAAACAAAATAAAATAAAAGAAGATGTTCGCAATAATAAAAACAAACAAAAAAAAAATCATTCAATTATAAGAAACGACTTAAGTTTTCGAAATCAAGTTATCAATGTGAATTTTATGAAGCGACTATTAGTTAGTCTAATTTGAGCTAAATTAGATTTAAGGTATTTTGGAAAACAGTCACTAATAGTTAAACTCTGGGGAAATATAGCTTATAAAGCAATTTTTTTTGTATTTAATAAGAATTTAATAATAGTCTTTTGCAATAATATCAAAATAATGTATACCACAGACAACAACGTCTCTAGGAGATCATCACCATGCTTAGAATGTATATCATTCCGAGTTGTTGTGCAAAAATACACCCAAAAACTGACGATCGTAGAAAAAATAGTACGATCCGCTCGAGCCAAATGAAATTCGTGATTAAAAAGGAGTTTATAAATCCTACGGCATAATATACTATTTTGATAATGCGCTTAATGACGTGTACTCGTACAGAAAAGTCCGCTAAAATATAATAACAATATTGCTTATGAACACGCTATCGCGACCTTTGTGAAAACAAAAATATCCATTAATCGACAAAACATGTCTGTTTATTTGATGAAATTTCAACATATTCGGTTGTTTTTTGAAATCCTAATCCTAATAGCGTACATTTGAGCTTTGTTCTAGCATTATCAAGAACTCAGTTGTTAGTACTTATTTGGCCTTTGTTGCGCACATTTTGTTTATTCACGTGGTATGATAAAACAAAAATTTTCAATTATAGCTGCATTTTTGTGCCATGTTTACTTTAGCTTAAGTGGAAGGTATTTAAAAAAATAATCATCGAATTAAGCGCGTTTGTATAGCGCAAAGCACGTTCGGAATTTAAAACATAAACATTAGCTACAACATAATATATATTTATAATTTGCTGTGTGCTGTGTACGGCTTAACACCTGATTTATGAACAAAATAAGCAATCGTCTATTTATAGCAACGTTCCGGCGTTAACACAGACTGCTGTTTTCTGTCCCCTGTGATTATAAATATAATATACAAGTTACTCGCATAATGCAGGTTGCCAAAAATTCGTTATATTATGCAAAATACAACCGAATTAAAATGTTACAGATATTTGGTAATCATTAATAATAACAACAAATGCTCGTTTTCAATTAGTCAAGATTAAAGAGGCCAAATATGAAATGTACTATGTGTTCGCACGAAATAACGTATTTTTGTAATAAAACAGGGTGAAAAATTAAAAATCAAAATCAATTTTAAAAAAATGGAAATATCTAATTAAATTTTTTTAAAGATTTTTTAGCAATAACATTGTTTAAGGGTGCAATTGTAAACATTTTAAAACAACTGAATATCTCTAACCTCTTATAACAGTTATGCATTATGTATTTGTAGACTCCCAATCTTGCCCATGTCAAGGCAGGGCACTCGGTGAGCAGATGATACGGGGTCTCCTCCCCTTCTAAAAGGGGTTTGACAAAGAGTTAACCAAACTTTTTAGGAGAATTGATAGACCCGAAGATATTTTCTTAATTGACCTGTGACTAAAAAGTCGACATTTTTTTCTATTAATAATTTACAAAAAATATATACAAACTATATGCCCACCATGTTTCGCTAATCCTCCTTCAAACACATACATTTGTGTTCTATAGAATAATTAAAATGTTATTGGTATATACTACTGAATTTCTGAATTTTAAAGGGTTTGTACAATAGCGGGATATTTTTTTTTTTTGGGCAAAAACGATGTAATGCTTAAAGATTTTTCGCCAAAAAATATACTCTTGTTTATAGAAAAAAAAATTACTTGTTTTGGAGTTATTTAATGTTTCAACAAGTACGGCTGAGATAATGTATTACTTGAGCAATTGGTTTAGAAATAATTGCTAAATAAAAATATTGTAAATTAGTTTGAAGGGAAATTGGGGGACATTGGGACAAATGTTTATTAACCACGCGGTTACTTTTCAATATTCTATGAACGAAACGAAGTATAAGTATCTCAGATGTATATTACTGTCACTATGCTAAATAGCCGGCTTTTTTTGTTTTTGGAGTATCGCCAATGCTTAATTACAGTTGAGTGGCACTTCTTGCAAGACTGAACGGTTTTATTTTTGTTATTTTTCCTGTGGAAGTAAATAAAAAAATATTTTTGCGTTGCTGAAAGCATCCCAAGTTCACTTGTTCCAGTTGGAGGCAAACCAGTATAAATACGCCAATTACCACAAAACATACTTAAAATAAAACAATGCAATAAAACAATAAATACCAACGCACTAATAACATCTATCCAAAAACGAAAACTGTTAACGGTAATACAGTGAACGCTCTATATAAGCAATTCATTTAAACCAATAGGGGGAACCACAGTGTCAAAAAAAAATTTTTTTTGTTGTTCTATGTAACAAATATAAGCACTTAAAAATTATTTTATTTAAATCCTCTTTGAAACGCGCTATCATTGGCTGCTGCGTGAAAGTTTTAAAAATCTAATAATTTACCTTTAGTTTATGGAGAAATCTTACACTCAAACCACCGAAAGTTTTTCTTTTGATGAGGTTCGCGTTGTTAAAGCTAAAAGGTATGTTCATAAAAAAATTAGCCACTAGTTTTAAACCAATATAATATTGTAATCAGCTTAAAGTTTTTTAGTTTTTAAAATTCAGATGGTAGATGAAATAAAATGTAAATTATTCAACAAAAAAAACACAAAAATGATTTTTTTTAAACTACTGGAAACGTAAATACTGATTTTAAAGTTTATTGGCACTGATAACTTAGTGTTCCTTATTTTATATACACCAGGAAGCTATTCCTATGGAGACTGCAATAGAATGGGTGCAAGTTCGAAGAGTTAAAAATGTTTTCAAGGTAAAGGCTAAAATTACAACTGAAAATAATGTTAATAAAAAACTACGCCTTTTATTTTCTTTTAGACGAATAAAAAGTTTACTTGGCATTTTACGGGTTGTACCCAAACACGATGGCACGATTTGTAATATTGTTTTTTTGTTGCTTCCATTATTATCATGTAAAGCACACTAAGCACAAATACAAAATGTCGTGGACTAAAAAAAAACTCATTTTACAAGAGCCAAAAATAAACGTAAATAATATAATTGAGAATAACACATGTCGCCGTATTGATCGAAAAGCAGCGGTATGACGTCACGATCATTCCCGAGAGTTTAGAATAGTTTAAAAGGGTGTCACAACGTGAATTATTTATTGCAACCTAAATATTGGGTTTTGAGTTTTGATATATGATATCGGTTATAAAATATTGCAATAAAGGAGTTTCTTATTGGGAAAAGTTGTTTATAGAGAATAGGGGATTGTAATATATTATTATAAAAAAGTTTCTTATTGGAAAAAGTTGTTTATAGAGAACAAGGGATTATAAAAATATTTACAGTGTGAAAAATATTTTTACTTATTTCTTTTAGTAACTAAACGGTTAAATAAATAAATAAATTCAGTTTGATTTTGCAAAAGAAAACATTTTACTATTAATTATATTTAAAAAAAAATAAACAATTAAATTTTAATAAATCCTTGGTTTCTCTTATTCTTTGTAACAAAAGAACTTCGTTGCAAGGATACGTCATTTTCTCTTGCCCATTCTATTATCAAGTTAAATGAATTTACAATATCACTGATGTTTTTATTGGAGTCATCACACAAGAGTTTCACTTTCTACTTCAAGATTTTTTTCAAGGTTAAATTCCACTTGCCCACTCCATATTTTCAGCTAAATTAAAATCATTAAATATCGAATTATACAATATTGCCAAGGGAATATCATCTTCTTCTGAAAAGGAATGTTGTATTGAATCTCATCACTCGACGAAAAGAGATGTTGAAATGATTTTTTTATAAATGCTTTTTATAAATGCTTAGACCACTAAATAAACATCTGTCAAATTTATATTTTGCAGTGCTGAAACTATTCCATCTTGTGCAGCTCAGGCTGCAAGACATACAAGTAGATGTTTGCGAGAGCGTTGTTTTAGTGACTTTATCACATTTTGATCTAGTAGTTGCAATAATGGTGTGTTATTAGTGGGAAAAACATAACTTTGAAATTTGGGTTACCAGTAAATTTATTCTCAGACCAAGTTGCATTATCTATTAAGAGAACTGAAGGTATGAATACATCATTATACCAGTCGCTAAAATGTGTATAAGTTTGGCAAGCATTTTTGGATGATTTGCAATATACTGGCTAATTCACATCTTTGAAGAAACGAGGAGATTTCAATTTTCCTGTGACCAAAAAATCTATTTTATTTTTTTTTATTATTTGCTTGTATAGAGGTTGCTTATAGAACGTTCACTGTAATAACAAAAAGATAATAATAAACACACAGTTACATCATTATCAAAAGTCACTCATGCGCAGTATAAACACAATTGATAAATTGGTGACCTGACCATCAGATTGGCTTAAAATTATAAAAATAGGTCTGCATTGTGTGAATTATAGAGTAGAATTAAAAAAGGGATTCTCTCAATTGGGGACGGACAAGTTATAGAATTATTAACCAGTTTATACAGCGTGGCGACAGAT